TCCCTGCAGCCCCAGCTGGCCTGGAACTCACTATGTAGACCAGGCTGGCCTTGAACTCACAGAGATCCACCTGCCTCTTCCTCCCAAGTGCTGGGATTAAAGGCATGTGCCACCACTCAGCCTTTAAATTCTTTTATTAATGATTCCAAGAACCCCAAGACAGGACCCTGATTTCCCCAGGACTTTAGAAGCTATCTAAGAGGGACCTCACACCATGATAGATCCTGGGTTCATCTCTTGAGTCAAGCCTTGGAGGCCAGAGGAAAAATCCTCCCAAAAGGACCCAATGGATGGGTGCTCTTGTGGAGCTTCTCAAGGGACTCTAAGTTCCAGTCTTATGAATTGGGATTAGCATACTTTAAGTTTGAGATGAATAAAGGCGCTTGCTGCCAAGACTGGTAACCTGAGCTGGATCCCCAGGATCCACATGGTTGAATAAGAAAATAACAAAGCCGGGCCTGGTGGCACAAGCCTTTAGTCCCAGGTAGAGGCAGGCGGATCTCTGTGAGTTCAAGGCCAGCTGGGGCTACAGGGAGACCAAATCTCAAAAAGACAAAAACAAAAACAAAAATAAAACAAATCCCTTAGGCCGGGAGTGGTAGCGCACGCCTTTAATCCCAGCACTCGGGAGGCAGAGGCAGGTGGATCTCTATGAGTTCAAAGCCAGCCTGGTCTACATAGTGAGTTCCAGGACAGCTGGGGCTACTAGGAGACCCTGTCTCAAAAAGACCAAAAAAAAAAAAAAACCAAATCCCAAACAGATAAGATATTGTATGTGTTTTAAAGCCTGAATCGTCCTTCTCTTCTTTGTATTATTTTTCAAATGCAGACACTCAGCTCACTTTAATTTTCACACCTATTTGGCTAGAAAATACATCTTGAGTTTGAAGTAGTGTAAATAAAATAAATAATCTAAGAGAAGGAAAAGACAGATATAAAAGCAAACAAAGTCCTGATATAGTGGCTCAGGCCTGTAATCCTAGCACTTGGGAAGTAGAGTCAGAAGTATCAGACGTTCAAGGTCATTTTCAACTATCTAGTCAGTTTAAGGCCATCCTTGGTTATGTGAGACATTGTCTCAAAAAATAAAATGAAAATTAAATTAAAAAGCAACCAATCTTTTTTAAATCCTTTCCCACTGACCTTTTCACCACATCCTTGTATCCTGGGGCCTGCCTCTCTGTCACAGGCTTCAGAAATGGACTGCTGAACCTGTTAAGAAACCAATCCAAAGAGAGAGAAACCCTGGTGAGTTATTCTATGTAAATGAGAAGGGTGGCTATGAACAAGAATATTTAAAACTACAGAGTAAACTAGGCATGGTGGCACTCAAGAGACTGAGACAGAAGGAGCACCAAGAGTTGGAGGCTTGCCTAGACTACATATTGAGTTCTAGTCTTAGCAGTCAGACTATAGAACAAAACAACAACAACAAAATCCTACAAGGTATGTCTCAGTTCTTGCTAGACTTCTCATAGGGGAATGCACTAGAACCACTAGAACTTTTAGCAGAAAGTGTTACATAAAACACCTTGTCAGCTGGGGGTGGTAGTACACACCTTCAATCCCAGCATTTATGAGGCAGAAGCAGGCAGATCTCTGTGAGTTCAAGGCCAGCCTGGTCTACATAGCAAGTTCCAGGACAGTTGGGACTACAGGAAGGCCCTGTCTCAAAAAGACCAAAAAAAAAAAAAAAAAAAATCTTAAGTATTTTATCTATTATCATATTATCATAATCTGTTTTAATTAAGGACTCAGAAATTTGTTCAAGATTCCCAAGACCTTTATTTGGGGGAGGGAGGAACGTAGCTCAAGTCAGCATCACAATTGCTATACAGCCAAGGACAGCCTTGAACCTCTGATTATCTTGCCTCTACTTTCCAAGTGTTAGGATTACAGGTATGTACCACTAGATTTGGTGGGTTTATGCAATGATGGGATCAAACCCAGGGCTTTATGCATGCTAGGCAAGTACTCTACAACTGAGCCACATCCCTAGCTCTCTGAGTCCCTGTTACTGTATGGAAGAAAATCCACAACATGGGAAGAAGACATATTTTAAATACAAAATATCATGTATAAGGAATCAATTTCTAGAGGCAATTCAAATAGCTCAGTATGATTTCTTTTTTTGAAATTTTATTTATTATTTCTATTTTATGTGTATGAGCGTATTGCCTGCATGTAGGTAGATGTAACTGTGATGTGAAGTACCTTTGGAGGTCAGAAGGAACTGGAGTTACAGACGTTTGTTAACCACCATGTGGGTGCTGGGAATCAAACCTGGGTCCTCTGCAAGAGCAGGCAGTGTTCTTAACCGCTGAGCCATCTCTCTAGCCCCCATGATTTCTTATAAACTAATGAAATAGCTAAAGGTACTTAAGTTAAACCAGTCTGAGATACAGAATCTTCTCAACTATGGCTTTTTTTTTTAGTTTTGTGAGGGTTTTTGTTTTGTTTTTATTTTTTGTTTGTTCATTTTTAGATAGGGTCTCATGTAGCCCAGGCTAGCCTCAAACTCACTGTGTGGCAATGAGGATGATCTTCAGGTTCTGATCTTCCTGCTTCAACCTCCCCAAAGCTGGAGGTGTGTGCCACCACCCACAAAGTATGCTGTGTTGAAGATAAAACGCTGTATGCTAGACAAACAAAATATCAATTGAGCTACATCCCCAGTCCCTCACCATTTTTCATTTGACTATGGTTTGTGTGAGGGATGACATATTTCCTTTTGTGCTTAAATTCGAATACATGATCCAGTTCTAGATAATCTCACTTCAGAGACCTACCTGTGGCTGGCAATCATCTTCCAGACTTGCAAAAGTGTCTTCTTAAATAGGAAATGATCCTGAATAGGATCACCTTGGCCTAGGTCACTCCTATAGGATACATGACAGAAAAGAGACAGTACCTTCATAAATAGTAGTTTGTCTCCCCAGGTAGGTAATAAGACTTTCTCAAGGCATAGTGCTCCTAATTTAAACATTTGAAGGAATATAACACCTTTCATGCTCTGATGAGGGATGATAAACAATATATTATTTTTAAAATTATTTTTAAATTTTACTTTATTTTATGTGTACGAGTATATTGCCTGCATGTAAGTGCACCATGTCATGCAATGTCCTCAGAGTTCAGAAGAGGGCTCTGGATCCCCTGGAACTAGAGTTAGGATGGTTGTTAGCCACCATGTGGGTGTCAGGAATCGAATCCAGGCCCTTTGCAAGAGCAGTCAGAGCTCTTACCCCTGAGCCATCTCTCTCTTTTTTTTTTTTTTTTTTTTTTTTGTCTTTTTGAGACAGGGTCTCCCTGTAGCCCCAGCTGTCCTGGAACTCACTATGTAGACCAGGCTGGCCTTGAACTCACAGAGATCTGCCTCCCTCTGCCTCCCAAGTGCTGGGACTACAGGCGTGTACCACCATGCCTGGCTGTATTCTTATCACTATTAGCCAATGAAATGGTTACATTTTTTGTTTGTTTTTAAAATGTTCCTTTTTTAGCCCGACATTGTGGCACATGCCTTTAATCCCAGCACTCAGGAGGCAGAGGCAGGCAGATCTCTGTGAGTTCAAGGCCAGCCTGGTCTACATAGTGAGTTCCAGGACAGCTGGGGCTACAGGGAGAACCTGTCTCAAAAAGACAAAAAAAAAAAAAAAAAAAAACAAAAAACTATATATATATATATATATATTCCTTTTTTTTAATTATTGTTTTTTTGAGACAGGGTCTATGTAGCTGAGGATAACCTTGAACTCCTGATTCTCCTTCCTTCACCTTCCAGAATGCTAGAATTATAAGACAATTCCACCATACTGAGTAAATGGTTTTTTTCTTTCTTTTTTTTCTTTTGCCTTTTTGAGACAGGGTCTCCCCAGCTGGCCTGGAACTCGCTATGTAGACCAGGCTGGCCTCAGACTCAGAGATCTGCCTGCCTCTGCCTCCCAAGTGCTGGGATTAAAGGTGTGCACTACCATGCTAGGCAGTGATTTACTTTCTTACAAAGTATACTACAAATCTGCAATTGTGTCTTATTTTTCCTTTTCTTCTTTTCCTTATTGGAGACAAAGAATGGACTATGTAGTCCTGGCCATTCTGAAACTCATTGTGACTCTGCAGAACTAGACTATGAAAGTAGTTTTGAAGCTAGGCATAGTGGTGAATCTATAATCTAGCATTTTGAAGTAGAAGAAGGAAGATCAGTGAGATAGAGGCCAATTTGGGCTACATGACACCCTGCCTCAAGAAAACAAGAAAAAGTTTTAGTTCGGTGATGTTTCCCAAATACTTAGAACACCCCAGCACATAGTAGGTTTTCAGGTATCAAAGAATTCTCTTATGTTTTATCTGAATTCTAGACATTAAATATTTTTCTTTTTCACTCTCCCCTATATGGTAATGAGATAGGCAAGGATAGAGCATAACTTAGCAATCTGGAACTCCAATTAGTTTGGGCTATCCACATCCCCACCTTCTATTAATGCACTTGGCAGCTCAAGACCCTTACCTGAATGTACTATGCACACAGATCCCTCCAAACAATGTACCTACAAACATGTTGGCAACCTGGGACCCCCAACTTGCATCAGGCTGCATGTATACCTGCTTTGAACAATGGCAATGGGGGCTGGAGAGATGACTCAGAGGTTAAGAGCACTAGCTACTCTTGCAGAGGACCCAGGTTTGGTTCCTAGCACCCACATGGTAGCTAACAACCATCTCAAACTCCAGTTCCAAGGGATCTGATTCCCTCTTCTGGCTTCTGTGGGCATTGCATATGCATGGTGCACTTACATATATGCTAGCAAAACACACATAAAATAAAAATAAATAGGGCTCTTAAAAAAAAAGTGGGGGGGCTACAGAGATGGTTCAGCGGTTAAGAACACTGGCTGTTCTTGCAGAAGACCCAAGTTCAAATCCCAGCAGCCACATGGCGGCTAACAACTGTCCTTAACTCCAATTCCAGGGGATCCGACAGCCTCTTCTGTCCTCCACAGGCATTGTATGACACTGGTGCACTTACATACATGCAGGCAATATATGCATACACATAAAATAAAAATAATATTTTTTAAAAATAAAAAGATAAATAAATAGGGCTCTGTAGAGATGGCTCAGCAGTTAAGATATGGCTGCTCCTGTGGGGCATGGTGGTGCATACCTCTAGTCCCAGCATGAGGGAGGCAGAGGCAGGCTGATCTCTGTGAGACCAGCCTGGTCTCCATAGTGAGCTCCAGGCTGATGGGACTACAAAAAGACCAAAAAAGCTGGGCGTGGTGGCACATGCCTTTAATCCCAGCACTTGGGAGGCAGAGGCAGGTGGATCTCTGTGAGTTTAAGGCCAGCCTAGTCTACACAGTGAGCTCTAGGCCAGCTAGGGCTACAGGGAGACCCTGACTCAAAAAAAGACCAGAAGAGATGGAGAGATGGCTGAGAGATTATAAGCACTGACTGCTCTTGGCAGAGGACCAGGGTTCTATTCCTAGCACCCACATGGTAGTTAACAACCATCTGTAACTCAGTTCCAGGGGATCTGATGCCCTCTTCTGACCCCCACAATCATTGCAGGACATGAGTGTGCTTACACACAGGCAATGCACTCATACACATAATTTTTTTTAAAGATATTTTGTGTAGGGGGCTGGAGAGATGGCTCAGCGGTTAAGAACACTGGCTGTTCTTGCAGAAGACCCGGGTTCAAATCCCAGAACCCACATGGCAGCTAACAGCTGTCCATGACTCCAGTTTCAGGGGATCCAACAGCCTCTTCTGTCCTCTGCGGGCATTGCATGACATAGGTGTGCTTACCTACATGCAAGCAATACACACGTACACATAAAAATAATAAATAAAATATTTTTAAAAACTATATTTAACTTGAGCTTAATAGGTCAGGCTAGCCTGGCAACGTAATGAAAACCTTGCTCAAAAATTTAATCCAGAGCTGGACATGGTGGTAACGAATTCAAATGGTTGTAAACAGACGTAAATAAAGTATGAATCCTAACAACTTTAGACAAAGATCTATGCTTAGAGGCTTTTGTAGTGCTGGGGAATCAAACTCTGAGTTTTGTATATCTTATTTAAGCACTCTTCACCTACTCCCCCAGTCCTATACTTACAGTTGTGAGGAGTTAACACAGTTGTAAAGGATCTCCACCAGGGGAGTTTCCTGAATAGTGATACCATCATCATGATCACCTGAAGGGGGTTGGTCTTCCATTTCTGAAGCATACCCTTCACCCTGGTTCATATCTTTGGAGTCTTGTTGAGCCTCCTCCTGGGAATTCCAAGACACACAAGAAACTTTAGAAAGATTTACCATTTGCATCATAATTTTACTTACACAGAGTAAATGAAGGCAGACTTAAAGATGCAGTCAATTCTATAAGGCTACCAAAAAGTTAGAAAAAGGTGACGTAACTGGACTTAAGTCAATTAATTTTTCAGTAATAATCTTCTGGAAAATGTTTATATTGCCCCAAAATGAAAAAGCAGTATTTTCTCAATTCCAACTTGGGTGTTGACCTCTGTTTTTTTTTTAAAAATTCTTTAGTATCATCTGTGGTCTTAGAGTTAGTTACTATGGCTGATCAGATAATATTAATAGTGAGATTCTAAACTGATTATGTTAAGGTTAAAACAAATGTTAGGTTAAAATGGCAAGAAGAGGGGCTGGAGAGATGGCAGTTAAATACACTGGTTCTTGTAGAATACTCCAGGGTTCGAATCCCAGCACCCACATGGCAACTAACAACTGTCTGTAACTCCAGTCCCAGGGGATCTGGCAGCCTCTTCTGTCCTCTGCAGGCATTGCATGACACGGGTGCACTTACCTATATACAAGCAATGCACACGTACATATATATTTTTAAATATTTTATTTATTATTTTTATTTTATGTGTTGTATTGCCTGCATGTAGGTAAGTGCACCCATGTCATGCAATGCCCATAGAGGACAGAAGAAGCTGTCAGATCCCCTGGAACTGGAGTTACAGACAGTTGTTAGCTGCCATGTGGGTGCTGGGATTCGAACCC